CAAAACAAAACAAACAAAAAAACCATATAAAGGTCAAACTCATATATGAATATCAAGATAAAAGTCTGAAACTATATTAGCAGAAAACAAACAAAAAAACCATATAAAGGTCAAACTCATATATGAATATCAAGATAAAAGTCTGAAACTATATTAGCAGAAAACAAACAAAAAAACTCAGCAACACATGAAAAAAAAAATATCTGACCAGGTGGAGTGTATAATAGAAATGTAAGTATGGCTCATAATTAAGGATGTATTAATATAATTAATCATAATCATTTATACAAGTTTTAAAAATCACATGAGTTTTTGAGAAAATTCAATAAATATTCTTGATTTTCTAAAAATATCAGTAAAATAGAAATAGATAGACACTCCCTTAACATGATAAACTATATAACAGCCAAAAAGATAGAATCATGCGGAATGAAGACTTATCCAAGGCATTCCCACTTAGGTCAGGAATACAAGGATGCTGCAAACAGAAATATAAAAAATTGGAAAGGAAGAGATGAAACTGTCATCTTCCTAGATTATACCACTATATACCTTAAAAATAATAAAATTAACTGAAAAATTACTATAATCACTAAATAAATTTAGTGAGATAAGTATACAGGCTTAAAGAATTTTCACAAATACAAAAACAACAACTAAAAGATATTATGGAAGAAACAATCCTATTTTACCAATATAAGGATTAAATGCCCAGGAATAAAAAAAATAAGAAATTTGTAAGACTTTTAAAAGTGTTAAAGCATCACAGAGAACTACAAGAGAACTCCAATGAATGGAACACTTCCCATGTCTTAATAATTAAAATTTCCCAAATGAATTTATAAATATAACAAGATCTTAATTTTAAAAAATACCAACAGATTTTTAAGTATTCAAACTGCATGTGGAAAAATAAACAAATAAAGATAGTTAAGATAATTATGAGAGAACAATGAAGCAAAACTAAGACCACAAGATATTAAAATATTATAAAGCTGCATTAATTAAATACTCTAACACTGGCACAAGAAGAGACAAAGAAACCAATAAACTGAGTATAAATGCAAGCAATAAATCCTAAGTAATACGGGACTTAGTTTTGTATGGACAGCATCTCAAGTCAATGGGAAAGACAGAATATTTAATTAACAATATTGCACCATCAGGGTAGACATCTGGAAAAAATAAATTTGGTCTCATCCCACACAGAATAAATTCCAAAGAATCAATGATGTAAACTTTCAAAATAAAACCATAAAGCACTAGAAGATAATATGATGAGAGAATTCCTTTGTAACTTTGGAGAAAGAAAGGTCATTCTAACTGTGACTCAATGTCCATAAAAAAATAATTAACCACAATAAAACCAAAACTTGTGCTTGACATAAACAAGTACAGCAAGTTGAAATGTAAATGGTAATCAGCACAATATCTATTTGCTGACTCAATGTCCATAAAAAAATAATTAACCACAATAAAACCAAAACTTGTACTTGACAT